ACACACAACCACGACCACAGTAGCATGAACACACAACCACGACCACAGTAGCATGAACACACAACCACGACCACAGTAGCATGAACACACAACCACGACCACAGTAGCATGAACACACAACCACGACCACAGTAGCATGAACACACAACCACGACCACAGTAGCATGAACACACACCCACGACCACAGTAGCATGAACACACAACCACGACCACAGTAGCATGAACACAACCACGACCACAGTAGCATGAACACACAACCACTAATGTATGTATGTGTTCAGAAAAAGAGGAGCTGCACAAACACAAAATCCCAGGAGTGATCCCCGGGAGCAGGGAGAGGCGTTTGGGCACACTTCCTGATACACGATGCCTCCGTTCCCCCCTAGCCGTTGATAGGTAGTTAGGAGTGAGTCGACACTTGTGGATAGCACCCTGGGGAGGGACAGTAATCGTCCTACAGGGACGAGGGACGGGGGATGGAGTCTAGATAAGTCATCACGCTTCCTGTCTCCGACGACGGAAATCACAACAAAAATAACATAACTGTCACTCACAAGAATGATAAATATATGACTACAAGACTGACAGAAAATATTAATACGATAACTTGCTCTATATGACTGATAGCCGCCTAGCCATACAAATCGATAAGCCTTGCCGTAGGGTAACTTATCTACCTAATACTCTTGATAACATGAAGAATGACCTACTCCAGAACATAAAGGAACTAGCTAACTTACTGCCTATCGGGTGTTAAGGACTGGCCATGTTTTCCAATATATGATAAAGTTGCAGTATTTGCCACAGGTGCATTATGTGACTGTTGAACAGAGCGGCTGCCGTTACATAGACCAATGTGTGTGTTACGTGTCTTGTGTGGATCTGGAGGTTGATGGCACTTGGTACATTCCAGCTGGGTCTCCTTGAACCAGTCATTACAGTCAAGGGAAGACATGCTCATTGGTGCCTTGTTTGTTGAGAGAATTGGATTTGTTTTCCCATGGCGTTTCAGCGTCCCGGCATCTCGGTGTCCCAGCATCTCGGTGTCACAATGTCTCGGCGTCTCAATGTCTCGGCGTCCCAATGTCTCAATGTCTCGGCGTCTCAATGTCTCGGCGTCTCAATGTCTCGGCGTCCCAATGTCTCGGCGTCCCAATGTCTCGGCGTCCCAATGTCTCGGCGTCCCGGCGTCTCAATGTCTCGGCGTCTCAATGTCTCGGCGTCCCAATGTCTCGGCGTCTCGGCGTCTCAATGTCTCGGCGTCTCAATGTCTCGGCGTCCCAATGTCTCGGCGTCCCGGCGTCTCAATGTCTCGGCGTCTCAATGTCTCGGCGTCCCAATGTCTCGGCGTCCCGGCGTCTCAATGTCTCGGCGTCTCAATTTCTCGGCGTCTCGATGTCTCGGCGTCTCAATGTCTCGGCGTCTCAGCGTCCCAGAGACTAAACTTTCCTCATTGTTCGTGGGCCGTTGCTCCTGGTGCTCTCTCTTCCTCGTTGGGTAAAGTTGGTATAATTCTTTATCCTACTTGGTCAGTCTTGCTGCCTTCTTGTGCCGGGACGAGGCAGGAACACAAGGGTTAGCCTTACTGAAAGATGTCTTTGATCAGGAAAGTTTTCCTAGACGATCCATCCCAGGTAGCGGAGTTCATACACGGGTAAACCTCCCGTCTCAGGTTTACTGAGACAGTCTACCGTCTTCCCCCAGTCTAGTCAGTCTGGCTTAACACTTTGTGCTAATTATCATCCCCCCTTTCCCTCCGCCTGACTCTGGAACACAGCCACTTTGGGACGCTTGCATGTCGCTCAGAGTTCAGGAGAGATCATCCTGGCCTGGCTTCAGTGGAGACTCCACCTGTCTCCTGATTGGTTCCCGCCCATCTGGTACTCCCGCCAGTATAAATGGGTCACGTCACTTGTCTCCGATATCGTGGCCAATAAGAGCTCGGACGAGTCTTCGCCGCCACCTTGGGGCAGCGCGTGACTATCACGTCAGAATCTGGAAGGTTCTAGCAGGTGTTGTTAGTTCATAATACTTCAGTGACCAGCAGTGGTTGACAAGTTGGTGGACAGAAGCGTAGGGGTGAAGACAGAGGCACAACAGGCTTCCTTACTTACACCGCCCGTCTTGCACCTTCGTAACACCTAAGAAGAAGTTCCTCCTTTGTTTAAGAATACTCAACATTTCGACTTAAATGGCATTAGGAACTTGTATTTATATGCTGATTTATGAGTTTTTTTTAACAGAGGGGTTAACCTATTTCCATTAAAGTCTATTACTCATTCCAAATTAACCCTCGTTATTCAGCTTCTCCCCATTCCACCCTACCCTTAACATTCTTACCCATTACACATGTTGAATCTCTTCCAACCCACAAGTCTACATTCATTTCTCCTTCCTATTTCCATCTTACATTTACCATTCCCGTTTCACTCTCATTCAGCCCGTCCTCCATTCAATTCTTTCCATTCACTCTGCCTATTCAACAGTTCACCCGCCCATTACATTCTACATCATATTCTATTCACTATCCATTCCACTCCTTGTGTATTCCACCCGCTCTTTCATCCCTTTTGATGACCGTCTCGCCCCTTACACAATTCCATCCCCCATCCATAAGATAACACAGGCTAGACAGTATTCCGGACAGTTGCGTTATATCAGTTTATTCTCCATAATGTTAACATTAGTCACGGTACGCACATGTAAACTATTCCATTTTAGAATATTATTATGTGTATTATGACACACAGAGATCACACTAACGTGATGCATCAAATGAACAAATCCACAAGGGCCGTGACGAGGATTCGAACCTGCGTCCGGGAGCATCCCAGATACTGCCTTCATCGACTGAGCTACGACAGGGTTAAAAAGGTTTCAACACTTTTTACCCTGTCGTAGCTCCGTCGATTAAGGCAGTGTCTGGGATGCTCCCGTACGCAGGTTCGAATCCTCGTCACGGCCC